CAGCAGGAAGGGACTTGCCGAGACCCCCGCGTGGGCCGCACGGCGCATCCTGCACCCTCTGCGGACAGGCAGAGCCAGGGATGGAGGCGGCAAAAGAGCAAGGCCGGCCCAGGCTGGCGACGGCAGGTCGCTAGACGTGGCCTCCCGCCCGCCCCAGGGGTTCCCAGCCCTAAGGCTGCAAGTAACTGGGTCACTTTTCATCCCCAGTCTAATCTCCGGCCCCTGCCTCGCGCGGAGCCCCAGCTGCTCAGCGCAGCCACCAGACAGGCCGCTTCCAGCCTGCTGCTCTTCCCCTGCCGAGGCCTGGAGCCAGGACTGAAGTCCCAGAGGGATCAGAAAGTGCCTGCGGACACTGCGGAGTCGGAGAAGGGGTCGGGAACTGGGACCCCACATCCCACCTGCGGAGAGGTGAGGACACCCCTGGCCTGGCGGCCATGGGACAGCCCCGCTGGCTCACGGCCACCCCCACAGCCTGGACCGTCTCTGCCTGGGGGCCTGGTCCCCGACCGCCCACCTGTGCCCGGAGACGGGGTGCCTTTGTGCTGCAGACAAACCTGAACAGAAGCCAGTTTCCTTTGACACTCGTCCGTGTTTTTCACATGCATTTGGAGAGGAGGAAGCAGGTGGACAGGGGAGAAGGGAGAGGTCCAAGACCGGCGCGGGCAGCAGACCGCAGGCATCCACGCAACACAGCTCCGATGATGCCAAGGCTGGCGGGAAGCGTGTCCCCCGGCCGGCTGCTCTCGGTGCTGTCTGGCCGGGACAGCGAGGCTCTTCCCGACTGAAATGGGGGCACGACCCTGGCTCACTCTGCAGCCCAGCGCTGTGCTCAGGGCAGAACAGGCTGGCAGCTGATCCTGCTCAGGAAGAGACGGCTCGTCTCAACGGAGAGCACCTGCAGCAGGGACCTCCCTGCGGGGAAGAGGCCGGACCCCAGCGGAGATGGAGGAGCTCTGGGTGCCAGGGGAGCAGAGGCAGCCGCTCCTGCAGGGAAGGGCACAAGCTTGCCGTTCCCCCCACGCACGCTGGTAGGGGCCATTACCTTCATGGGGGAGGCTGGCAGGGTCAGGGCTGGTGCTAGGTGCCGGCAATGCCCACCTCCATCTCCTTGGAGGGCCGGCGGTCCCTGGCCAGCAGGGCCATCATGCTCTCCGCACGCAGCAGCAGGTTGCAGCCCAGGAAGACGACACCGAAGATGACGGTGAGGCAGAGCACGCAGAGCACAGCCACCTGCACCGCCTGCACACTGCGCTGGCTCCTCGCCTCGCTCCCCACCACGACGGCACAGCCGGTGCTGAGGAGCGAGGCCACAGTCGGGGCCCCGGCGGAGACAGTGCCATTCATCATGGAGCGGGTGAGGCTGGATGGGGCTCCGTTGCTTCCCCTCGGTGACCCAGGGGCTCTGGCACTGACCGCCAGGCAGGCTCCCCCACGAGTGCCAGCAGAGCTGGGCTGCGGCTGCAGGTCAGCCACAGACGGGGAGGGTTTAAGTGATGTCAGGGAGCGCTGCTCCAGCCCAGCCCAGCGGGGAACCAGCCGCTGGCAATCAGAGCAAGGCTCCTGCGGCAGTGGGGAAACAAACCCCCTCGGCCCCCAGGGAGGACAAGCTTCCCCTGCACCGAGTCTCCCACCCTGGTTGGGGTGGGGGGCACTGCGGCTGCCCCAGGGTTGTGCCACTAGAGTTCCCTCCCGGGGCACTTGCCCCTGATTTGGGATGATGCCAGCTGGGTCGTTCCCCCCTCCTCCCCCCGCTCCAGGCAAGGGCTGCAGGTCGGCTGCATGTGGGACACCCCACCCCACCAGTCATCTTCAGTCATGGCTCCACCTGCTTCTTGCATGGAGAAGAACCAGCCCGTGTCAGAAACCCCTGACCCTATGTGACACTGACCCCAGCCAAGAGAGGCACTCCTAGGACCAGACAGGATCATTCGTGACTGCAATGACCTGCCAGGGCATTGGCTGGGGGTGGGGGGGATGGGACATGAGGCCAGGCCTGCATTTACCACACAGGGGCCACGCGAGTCTGAGCTAACACTGTGCCCCTTGCCAAGGAGAGCTCCAGCGTGGAGTGCTTGCTCTGTGCTGGAGGGGAAGGGGAGCCAGGCACCTGCTCCAGGCTGCAGGGCTCCCAGCTGCTCTGCACAGCCCGTGGGTCTTTCTCTACCAGGATGAGGAGGCACGAGGAGCAGGACACAAATTTATTGTTTTACAGAACACGAAGACAGGTGGCAGCCCCGGGCCTGGCACCAAACAGGAATGCGAGTGCCTGGCAGTGTGCCCAGGGCACCCTCTCCGCACCAGGCGGAGGAATAGAGGCCCAGGCTGTGGAGGGTTTGCCTTGTGGTCCCAGCCTTGGGCACCGCTGCTGCCTCTGTGGCAGTGAACATCTCCTGTTCACGCAGCACTTCATAAGAGGCCCCTGCCCCTAGCAGCTGCCAGACCCCAGGGGAGCGGGCAGCATGGGGATGGGGCCACAGCACAGCAGGACATCCAGGGTGCAGGAGGGGAGAGCAGCTGCCTCAGCGCGTGGCACAGAGCACTCTGGGCGACCCCAGATGGACAAGTTGCAGAGGGGCCGAGTCCAGAGCATCCATCTGGAGCAGCTGGACAGAAGGCCTGGAAGGGCAGGCGCTCCCCAGGCTGGGCCCTACAGGGCCAGTGTGTCCTTGATGAGGCGGCGCATGGTGGTGGTGACGGAGGTGCCCAGGGAGTCCGTGATCTGGTAGGAGATCTTGTACAGGTAGGGCTGCACGTCCTTCAGCCCTGTGTCAAAGACATTGTCCACCTCGGACTGGGTAGGCATCTTGGGCAGGTACTCGTGGCGGTTCATCACTTCCACGATGTTGATGACCTTCTCGCACAGCTTCTCGCCCACCTTCTCCCGGCAGATCTGGCGCTCCTGCTCGTTGGCCAGGCTCACCACGTTCACCCTGACAGTCCACACCTCCCAGGGGATGCACTCGTCTGAGAAGGGCCAGCGTGACTTCTTCTTCTGGTAGAACTCCAGGGAGATCTGCCCCATGCCGTCGCCGCCTGAGTTGCGCAGCGCGTCCTGGGGAGAGAGCGCCGGGGTCAGGGGGCCTCCGGGCCACCGCAGCCGGTGCCGTGAAGGCTTTCCCCCAGAGCCCCCCACCCCTACTGCGTGCAGCACCCCAGCACCTCACATGCCCGTGGGCAGCAGGGCAGTGCTGGGCCACCGGCCTCACTGCACCAGTGGAAACTAAGGCAGGGAGAAGCCAAGGTCAAGCCAGCAACCTAGCCCTGACCGGTGCCCCATCCTCTGTATCACCCTTTCCGCAGTCACGGGCGGGAAGTTGTGTAGAGCAGACAACCAGGTTTGTTTCATTCTTGTGGCTGCAGAGGAGGGCTGGACCCCGCAAAGCACCTAGTGGCCCACGTTCCTAGCCCCAGCAGACAGGGCACAGCATGGACGTGCTCTCAGCTGCACCAGCAAGTACAGTACATGGGCACACTCAGGCAGCATGAGGCCATCAGCTCCCTGGGAGACTCAGTGGTTTCACGCCCCACCCCACGACCTCACCCGACGGCAGCTGGGTCCAGAGCTGATGCGCTCGGCTCAGCAGGAGGACGGTCGGCGGGGCAGGGATCAGCCCTGAACCCGGGGCACTTCTGCAGGAGCACGGGGGACGCGGGACTCTGCCACGGGTCTGAGTTCAGTGCCATCCGCTCTGCACAGCACCCCACAGCGCTCATGTGTGCACTGCACCTCTCTGGGCTGCAACTGCCCGGGACAGGATAGGACCAGCAGAGCTGGGGACAGACATGGACCGCAACGGCTGGCGGCAGCACCCGTCCCTCTGCCACGCGGCCCAGCAGCCGGATTGAGGCCACGGTGCCCGAAATCCCCCTAATTAAACCCCGCTGCAACATATGTTCCGGATTTTGTTTTGCCGGAGCCCTGCCACAATCTGTCACGGAGCGGCCGTGGAACAGGCGCCGGCAGGGGCACCGCCAGCTGCGTCGAGCTCCACCCGCCCGGGCTGGGCCAGGCACACAACATGCCATCAGCCACGACACGTGGACCCCACGACTGCGGAGCCCTGCACATGGCCTGGCCGGTGCGGCCTTGTGTCTCCGCACTCGCCCGGCTGCGAGAAGTCACTGCCTCGCGTCCTGCATCCCTGCAGGCCCTCGGCGCCCCCCCGCCGCCCTCGCAGGCTCCGTGGAGGCCGCGTCACCCTGTCAGCCCCAGCCACGGAGCAGCTCAGGACCCCTGGAGGACTCGCAGCTCAGCCTCCCACCGGAGCTGAGGCCTTTAGTCCTGAACGCCTCCTTTCCGGGCTGAGCCTGGCAACACCCAGCAGCTTCTCTCAGGAGCACCTCCGGGAATCAGCAGGGTGGGAGCAGGATGCGGCTCTCCCAGCATGAGCGAGGAGGGATCGGGTTCCCCGGGCGGCCGGGCAAGGGCCCCGCGGGCGAGACTCAGTACCTTGAACTCCCCGACTGCCTTGCGCAGTGCCCGGTCCAGCTCCTCGGAGGAGACGCGCACGTAGGTGAAGTCGATGAAGTCGCAGTCCACGTCCTGCGTGCCCACGGTGCCGATGGAGTAGGTGCCCTCCTTCTTGTAGTGGAACTTGCCGGTGCTGCGGTGCAGCAGGATGGTGTGCAACACGGCCAGCATGGCCTCCTCGATCTGCCGGCCCTCCACCGACACCTCCAGCACCTCCGAGCGGCAGTTCATGGCGCCGGGGCCAGGCGGGAGACGCGGCGGAGCTCGCCCTGCAAGCACAGAACCGGGCTGGGACTCGGCGGCGCTCCCCGCTCGCCAGGGGAGACCCCCGCCCTCGGCGGCGGACAGGGCTGGCTCAGGACTCGGGCGCGCGGGGCCTGGGTGGCTCTGCCACGACCCCCGCGCCT